CTGCAGCCTCTCCCAATTCCTTACCAACAGTAGTAGTGCTTCTGATCTTATCCCCAAAAACCAAAATTTTGATCCTCTTAAGCATTGTGCTTTTAATATTATCAGTTAAAGCAGTCTCATATAAAGTTCTTTATCACGTTTAAGCTAAAAGTACCAAGGTAATACTCCTTTATCAAGTCTGATCATAACTCATACTTTTCAAGTATAAGCATATTTAAACAACATGCTTTCTTTTATGGAATGATACAGGAGCGCTTCTCATTTAGAATTTATTAGATTAAAAAGCATGGCTTTAGTATACTCATTTGGATAAAGACCCATAATAGGAACAATACATGCAACTGTGTGCTAGACTGGTTGGTTCTAAGAGAGCCTAATCTCCAATAATATTATTGTTTAAACTCAGGCCAGACACTGGCTGAGAGGATGAATATTTGTATGTTTAGCTGATCTCAAATGCTGCTTCCAGAGATTTTGGCTTTATTCTATCTTACAGTGCTTGCATGTGTGATTTCATGGAATAAGGTAGGATATACATTTATCCTGATAGATAAAGATATGTTTCACTGCTTATTGTAGCAATACTGGCTGCTTTGAAGCATATATGACCCTTCTGGATGTTCAAAGCGGCTGCTTTAATTTGCCCCTGTGGACTGATGGATTTCTTTTTTCAGGTTGAGACTGTCTTCCATGAATTTGGCCACGCACTTCAGCATATGCTGACCACGCAAGACGAAGGCCTAGTTTCTGGCACTCGAGGGATTGAGTGGGATGCTGTTGAGTTGCCCTCTCAATTCATGGAAAATTGGTGTTACCACAGGTTAACATCTCCAACAACCAAAATTTATCTCTTTTGGACTGCTTCACTACGTTTCCTTTTTGTTTCTAAAAGAAATAAAATTGGATGTACATGCACGTGGAAAATGCGCATACAAGGCCCAGTATAATAACTTCCTATGTATGCTTTATTAAAGCACCCACTATACTTACGGTATATTATATGGCTTCTTGTTTGTGGTTTCTGGCTTTATGCAACTCTTTAGTGTTTTTACTACTATGTTTGTGGTTAATCATATTGCATTTGATCATAATGTTATGATGCGACAATGGGTTAGGAGAAAACATGTCTAACTGACACTCATGACAGTGAGGCTTGAGCTTGTTTGATCTTTTTGTTCTCATTATTTTATAGGCTGCAGGCAAAATCATGGACAAAATCTAAATTTTCCACATTCTCTAATTAGTTTGTCTGAATATAATTCCCATAGCCACATGTTTGGATATTGCCATTATCATTATGTATATTTCAGTTTTCAAATCAATTATAAATTTCATTAAGTAGATTTTATTTAAATTGTCTTCTGATTGCTTCAGGGATACATTGATGAGCATTGCAAAGCATTATGAAACAGGGGAGAGCCTCCCTGAAGAGGTCTATTTGAAGCTCCTTGCTGCAAGGACTTTCCGTGCTGGTTCTCTAAGTCTTCGTCAGGTCAGTTGAACTTGTTCTGCCCTTGTGTTACATTTGGTGTACATATTTCTGCAGAAACAATGTGTTTCCTGAGGATTTCTTGTGATGGTTACTGAAGCCTGCCCCTTAATATATGCAGGTACCTTGTGAGGGTTCATTACCTCCATGTTCCCCTCCTCTGTCCTCTTCTTCCTCTTTTTTGCTTTTGTGTTTACCTATCTCTTCTTTCAACCCCTCTCCCACCTCCATGTTGGATTGATTTTGCATGTGGTCCCCTTTAGCATCAGTCTTAGTTGTGCTTACCTATTTCTAACTGTTTGCTTTTTCCAGATTCGATTTGCTAGCCTGGATTTGGAGCTTCATACGAAATATATACCGGATGGATCAGAATCTGTTTATGACGTTGATCAGAGAGTTTACAGAGAAACACAAGTGATACCCCCATTGCCAGAAGATAGGTTCCTTTGTAGTTTCAACCATATATTTGCAGGTTTGCTCCTACTTCTTCCAGCCCTCCTCTCTCCTTTTTCGTATGTGCTTTTTACCGGGGATAGTGTCATATTTGGCCCTTACAAAGAAAATTTCCAATGTAGTACTTGTACTTCTAAAATGTGTAATGTGATGTGTAGACTATCATTTTGTGTAATAATTAAAACTCTTAGTTGAAGATGATAACGTGATTAATTACAAATCAGAAGATGATATGTATCCTTATGGATGATGTGGTAATTATTAAGACACATGTCAATCTTTTGATTTGTAGTTAATCACGCTATCATCTTCAACTAAAGGTGTTAACTGAAACATGAAATGATAGTATAAACGTCATATTGCATACTTTGAAGTACAAGTACTACATTGGAAATTTGGCCCCTATGGATGATGTGGCCCTTATTTGAAGTTACACCAAAATAGTAAGGGTTAAGTTTAAAATATATATATGAACAAATTAAAAAGTTAAAAAATTTTCAAATTAGAAAATATATATATGAACAAATATATATATATATATATATGAAGTTGCACCAAAATAATAAGGACTAGATTGACACATGGAATGGTAGTATAGGTACACATTGAAATTTTGATAAATTACAGGGGTTAAACATGACATTACCCCTTACTAATTTGGTGCAACTTCACCTAAGAGATTTTTTTAATTTGTTGACTTTTGTGAATGTCAGGTGAATATGCTGCTGGATACTACAGTTACAAGGTATATTTTATCTTTTATCTTGGTTCTTTCTTAGAAAACTACAATGGAAACATGTTTGAAATGTTTCTGGTCCGAACTAGCTACCGAGGTCTGATTATCGCCAATCTGAGAAAGACGGATATATAACTTATGATCCTTCTCCCTCTCCTTTTCTTTCTTCTCTTTTTTTCTCTGAGCCTGCTTTGGCAGCCTAGCTTGTATTAAGTATTTGTCTGCTAAAATCCTGTGATCATTTTTATGAACTGGGGGCATGATTTGTATCCTTGTTTTTCCTTTTCTTTCCTTTTCCTTTGCCGCTTGCTATGTGATCTGAAATCCTAAATGCTTATTTTGCAGTGGGCAGAAGTGTTGTCTGCAGATGCTTTCTCAGCATTCGAGGATGCTGGATTGGAAGATAGACAAGGTATGGTGGTTGAAAAGGCTGTTTGTTCAGGATTGGTTTTTTAAATCCATCATGTCTAATTGTATTCCAACAGGCTGTTAAAGAAACTGGCCACAAGTTCCGAGATACCATTCTTGCTCTTGGAGGTGGAAAAGCACCATTAAAGGTTAGTTTATACAAATTGTCCATTGACATTCATTTTTAATCATATTTTCTATTTCTTTCCCTTTCTCAGCAATTTTTAAATAAGAGAAACACTGTATTTGGAGTGAAGGTGTTTGTTAGACACTGAAACTTGATATGAGAAGTGCTTCCATTGAATCTTCTTAACATGAGATGATATTGCATCCAGGTCTTCGTTGAATTCCGTGGCCGCGAACCTTCACCAGAAGCATTACTCAGGCACAATGGATTACTACCAGTCCCAGCCTGAGCTTGAGCTGTTTCTAAGGTGCCATTAAGTGTTACCAAAGAGACATGCATAACAAATTTTCTAGGTCTTTACACCACTTATGTTTCAAACTGTCTTTACTTTTAAGGGAAGGTTGAGAAAAAAAATTGAGAAAACGACAAACTTATTTGAAATTGTAGTATATAATTTGGTTTGGATTGGTTTTTTTATTTTATTTGGATTAAATTTAAATATTAAATATTTATTAAGTTTGCATGGAGAAGTAAAAAATCAAAAAAATTAAACTGAATTGAACTATATATTTTAAATTTTTATAAAATAAAAATAATTATTTTATATTTAAATCTTTTTAAATATATTAAAATTATATTAAAATAATATATAAAAAATTAAAAAATAAATTTTAAAAACCAATACTAAACAAAATCGATAAAATTCAATTTGGATTAGATTGGTTTCCAAAAAAATCATTTCAAGTTCCTATAAGATTTTTAAAAATATAATATTATATATTATTTTAAAACAATTAAATTTAATTTAATTTGATCTAAATAATTATAAAAGAATACAAAAAGGAAAACAGAAGCCGTCCAGGTTATTGATGGGCGTAGTGCTTATGGATGTCTTATAACCTTGAGATATTTAATCTTGAATTTTCTTTGGAGTTGATCTTTTGTCATCTCTTCTGGTGAAATAGTTTTTGATTCTGGTTGTCTTATCTGCTTGCTCTATGCTTCTAGTTGTTATAACAATCATTTGTTCAAAACCTGAAGCAAAATTGGAGATGGTAAAAGCACAGTGTCTAAAGCATTTGTTTGGTTGATGGCTTGGCTTCAAAGGCAAATTTTCTGATAACACTTCCTAGATTAAACCACAAATAAAACTGCTCCTTGAACCACTTAAATTTGAATGATGCGCGTTTGCCTGAAAAGTAAATATGATAATTTTAAAAGTTTTATATAAAAAATAATTTAAAATTAATTTTAGTAAAAATTATATATAAACTTAATATAATAATTTTTTATTTTATATATTTTTCACATAAAATAAATGAATATAAATAATCAAATCTATTTAACATTTATCTGATAAAATTTAAATTTTATTATATTGTTGATACGATATCATTGTATCACTAATTTAATTTAGATATTAACTTTAAAATCCCTATAATATAAATTTTTCTTTAAAAATTTTTTCAATAATATTTATAATAATTTTTTAAATCATAATTATAATAATTTTTTTTAATATTATCAAAATTAATCTTATCATTTATTATTTTTAGTAACCTTTGAATCAAATTAATCGTATTTTTAATTAAATTTAAATATTAATTTTAATAATCTCAAGTTAACATAAATTTTTTTTCAATCATAATTATAATAATTTTTTTAATAATAATTATAATAAATTTTATTATTATTTTTAATCTTATCATAATCGATCTCAATCTAAGTAAGACCGTGATAAAGGGAAGTCGCCACTTATAAGTCCACAACTAACTGAAGCCAACCAATCAATCAACCCGGATTCAATTTTATTGCACCAAAAAGATTTTCTTTTTTCAACCAAATTTAAAATAAATATCAAAGAAAAAATATCAACAGGCGAGGAAGGAAGATCAGTAAAAATTTGCTTTTTTTTGGAAAAAAAAAAAAGAGAAAAGGGAAAGAAATGGCAAGAGCAGGAGGGATAACGAACGCCGTAAACGTAGGGATAGCGGTCCAAGCGGATTGGGAGAATCGCGAATTCATCTCTCACATTTCCCTCAATGTTCGTCGCCTATTCGAATTTCTCCTCCAATTCGGTAAAATATACTTATCTTTTTTTTTTTAATTCAAGTTCAATTTTTTCATTATTAATTGTTTGATTGTTTTCAGAGGCCACCACGAAGAGCAAACTAGCATCATTGAACGAGAAGCTCGACACCCTGGAACGTCGTTTGGAGCTTCTTGAAGTTCAAGTTGGAACTGCTTCCGCTAACCCTTCTCTTTTCAGTACGTGATTCAATCTTACAATTGTATTTGTTTCCATATCTTTGTCCTGATTCTGTTCCTATCATAGTTTTCGACTTCTACAAATCAAAGTTTTCCCCTTTGTCTATATAGTAACCTTGTTGATTACTGAATTTCGCTGTTTGTTTTTTTCCCCAAGCTGTTGTATTTGTAAGACATTATTATTGGCTATTGAAAATTTCACCAATAATTCATGTTTGCCTTCATTGCACATTTTTTTAGAGATTTTTTTTATCTAATTTTTGTTTCAATCTTGCAACTGTGAGGAAGATGCTGAAGCAGTTGTTGGCAGCCGAAATTTCTGATCCCTGCCTTGATAGACAATAGTAAAGTAATTTTAGTGGTGATGGTGGTTATCTCCTTGACTAGAAGAAAACCAAAATCGTTGCTTCCAGTGGATCCTAGATTTGAATCTTGTTGAGGAAAAAGAAAGAAACTATTTTTTTTTTCTTTATAAAGAAATCAAGTTGTCAATTAGATCCATGGTTGTGTTAAAACAGTCTTGTTCATAAAAAATTTAGATCTATTTCAGTTAATCTATAGACCTTGTCTGCTTTGCTAATTATTCTATTCAATGATATTGAATAAATAACTTAAAATGGCTGCGTTTGGCTCTCTTAGCCTTCAGTTCGTTCATCTTTGTAATGTTTTCTGCATTTCCAATATGAACTTTTAGATGTTCTAAAGGTCTCTTGTTTGTTAAATAATGTCTATTTTAACATTTTAAGCAGGCAATTTCTTTAATATCCCCTGTAGTTGAGTTCTCAGTCTGGATTCATAGTTTAAGATGTCTATTCTTAAGCACTGTAAGTTTTCAGTTGCTTAACAGTTCTGAAGTTGAATCTGGTGGCTTAAGTATATAACTTAGTTACACTAAAGTCATTGATCAGATATTTATGGCTTAAATTATCTAAAATGTCTAGATTGGTGTTGCATCTTTGGCCTAACTACATTGTGGGAGTGGTTGATAAAAGAAGATGCAACAACTTGGCTAATTAACCAGGAAAAGCAGGGAAGGAAGGGAAGGAATCAGGGAATGTGTATTGACACAACATTGAAGGTCTGCTGCAATAGTAAATACTTAAACTTCAAAATAAATGGAATAGATGAAGGTGCTTAGTCTTCATCAAAAATGCATGGGACAATTCTTCCTGTTAGCTGATTATAATTTGTAAATTTAAAAACATCTCATCCACCCATCCATTCTCTTGGCTCTGGAGGAACCAATGCTTGTTTGTCAATAGGTGAGGGTTCCGATGCAGTTGGGATAGGCGGTAGAAAACATCTCACCCACCCATCGATTCTTTTGGCTCTGGAGGAGCCAATGCTTGTGTGTCAATAGGTGAGGCTTCTGATGCAGTTGGGGTAGGCAGTAGAACTATATTCCTTTCCATAACTATTGAGAAGCGATTGGACCCTCCCAAGCTATATATGCTGTCCATGGACCTCATGCATTGTGATGCATTATTCTCTATGATCAAAGCATCCTCCAACTCTCAAACAATGTCAGCCATGCATGGTCAGTAAGCAGAAAAAGACTCAATGCATGCCAATGCTGCCTCAACTACTCTCCACATTGCCTTGGCATGGCACCCTCCATTTATGTTAGGGTCGACTACTTCATCAATCTTTGACTGCCTTATGTAAGGTTTTCAAACTCAATAAGCAGGAGACTGACATCAAATAAGCTAAGAAGATGACTTAACCTGTGGTCATACAAAAGCGGTTCATCCTCAAGGAAACAATTGAAGAAGAATACTTGGATCAAAGAAGCAAGTAAACACAGCAAACGGAGGCTATGAACTATTTTAATCAATATATACTATGGATCTATGACCATCTGGCATGCACTGTCATGTTTTTCTGTTCGAAATAGAACTGAGGTTCATGCTGAATCTTTTCATGTTGTGATTCATGCAGCTTATAGTATGCCCAGACATTATTTAAATCTCTATGTTGTATTTGTTAAGGAGTGGAAAGGTGGGAGGATATTATACTTTTTGAGCTACAGAATATGAAATGAGGTGGTTCAACTATCAGATGAAATTTTTCTTTGTTCTTTTCACCCTTTGTTACCTAATGCACAGTTAATTTGTGTTCTTTAGTGCTCAATTTTGGGATGTATAAGACATGATAGATATTTCATTTATCACTATGGACTATTCATACTAAATGGAATTGAGTAAAATCGGAGACTTAATTCGGTTAGCTTATGTAGTCACTCTTAAGAGATAAAATTCAACAAGTTTATAAAATTCAACTGTCAACACCATCAATCTCTTCTTTTATCCCGAAGTATGGCTTTTTTTTAGGAAAAAAATAGGTTATAAAATAAAAAATAAAATAGTAATTCATGTAGAGCTGATCAGGCCTTGAAGTGCTTAGGCCACGTTCAGCCGAAATATCTTTTGGGCTAAAAAATTTTGGCAAAGCCATTTTTTGTTAAATGGCTTTGCAATTTTGTAAAAACTTGCCCAAGAAAACAAAGCAGTCAATAGACATGAATTTGACCCATATGATCTCCTCATGGCTTGTTGCCTACGATCCCCTTGAATGCCAACTCTTAACTTTTGGCAGAATGACAATTGAAGTATTCTACTTTATTCCTACTTTACCTCCAAATCTACCAAGGGAACCGGTGTTCTCAAAATGACTTGACGCCAAAAATGTCATTCAATTACAAAACTCACCAATCATTTTCCCTAAAACCCTAACGTTGTCTTTTTAAACCCTCCTGTCTTCAAAAGGTTTTAGTAATTTGGGCTACCCATGGCTGCTTCAGTTCTACGCCGTGCTTTACAACGCCGTGAGCTTCACTCTGCTTCTCTCTCCGCTTGCAGACACGTAAGTTTCTCTTTTCTTTATTTTGGGTCTTTTGGGTTTCACTCTTTTTTTAAATTTCAGTCCTTTTTTGCTGTCAAAAATCAATGCTTTTTTGCTTGATATGGGTTTTTTTTTTTTCTTTTCCTTTGATTTAATTTGATTTTAGAACTCTGTCATAACTTGATTCCTTAATTCTTAAATGGGGAAAATTGTGGTGTCTCTGCCCATTTTTATTTTGTTTAAAGGTCAAAGATTTTATGTTGCAACACCATCAATGTAGATTTTTCTCATTTCTTTTTTTTGCTTCTTTTTACGTCTTAGCCTTTTGGTCAGATGATCAGATCAATGTTAAAACAAAAACTTTTTGGACTTCTTTTGTTTGGTTTACGTTAACTTGGATTGGTGTCTTTTTGGTTAGTTAAAAGCTGTCGGCTTGTTAATAATTGTGGACTGGAATGTGTTTACAGTTAGGGACTTTTCTGGGTTAACTTGAGTAAAAGAACTTGAAATATTGTTGTTAGGGTTCTTTATGATGAGATATTTCTAAGTGGAAGACTTTTGTAATTGGTCATTGAAGCTTACTAGTGTGATTTATTCTTTTGTAATAGTTAAATGTAAATGCAAAGGCATCATTGGCTAGCTCTCCGCTGGTCAGATGGGCATCCATGGCAAGACCTTTCAGGTATTCTTATTGTTTCTTCAAATTATTATCCATCTCGATGGCTTGTTCTTTGCTAAGATATTGTTGTTCCTGCCATACAGCTCAAGACCTGTTGGTAATGATGTTATTGGTATTGACTTGGGTACAACCAATTCATGTGTATCAGTGATGGACGGAAAGGTGGATTATTTTTCCCTAGTAATATTAATCTTTGTTTAAGTATATATTAGAATTCCTTATTGGACTATGTTACCCAAATTATTTGAGTCTTTTTTATGCATTTGCAGAACACTAGAGTAATTGAGAATGCTGAAGGAGCACGGACCAAACCATCAGTGGTTGCCTTCAACCAGCAGGGGGAGCTAATTGTTGGAACCCCAGCCAAACGTCAGGCTGTGACCAACCCAACAAACACATTTTTTGGAACCAAACGTCCGATTGGTAGACGTTTTGATGATGCTCAGACACAGAAAGAAATGAAGATGGTATCTTACAAGATTGTTAGAGCTCTCAATGGGGATGCTTGGCTTGAAGCCAATGGAAAAACTTATTCCCCAAGTCAGATTGGTGCATTCATTTTAACAAAAATGAAAGAAACTGCTGAAGCATACCTTGGTAAAACAGTGACCGAAGCTGTCATCACTGTGCCTGCTTATTTTAATGATGCACAAAGGCAGGCCACCAAGGATGCTGGGAGGATTGCTGCGTTAGATGTTGAAAGGATTATTAATGAACCAACTGCTGCTGCACTTTCCTATGGGATGAATAACAAAGAGGGTATCATAGCAGTATTTGACCTTGGAGGTGGAACTTTTGACGTTTCTATATTAGAAATTTCTAATGGTGTTTTCAAGGTATGCTTCTTTTTCCTTATATGATGATTTCTTTATTGCTTTTCTAAGTTAATTTACTTGAGGAGCTCTTTATCAGGTAAAAGCAACAAATGGAGACACCTTCTTGGGTGGAGAGGACTTTGACCATGCACTATAAGAATACTTGGTGAGCAAGTTCAAGAAAACTGATAATATTGGTCTCTCAAAGGACAGGCTTGCCCTGCAGAGGCTTCGGGAGGCAGCTGAGAAGGCTAAGATTGAACTTTCATCTACATCCCAAACTGAAATCAATCTTCCATTTATAACTGCTGATGCTTCTGGAGCAAAACATTTAAATATAACTCTAACCAGATCCAAGTTTGAGGCTCTAGTGAGCAGCTTGATTGAGAGAACTAGAATTCCATGTAAAAATTGTTTGAAGGATGCTGGGATATCCATCAATGATGTGGATGAAGTATTGCTTGTCGGAGGAATGACTCGTGTTCCCAAGGTGCAAGATATTGTTTCAGAAATTTTCGGCAAGTCTCCAAGCAAAGGGGTTAACCCTGATGAGGCAGTTGCAATGGGAGCTGCTATTCAAGGTGGTATCCTTCGAGGTGATGTTAAGGAGCTGCTTCTGTTGGATGTAACTCCTCTGTCACTTGGTATTGAAACTCTTGGAGGAATTTTCACTAGGTTGATTAACAGAAATACAACTATCCCTACAAAAAAATCACAGGTCAGTATTATGATACATTATGTTTTGCATCAGATATTTTGGAGATTAGAATAACTTTGCTGGTATATGAGAGCACCTAAGCTATTTTCTCTCTGTTAGTAATACATGTTGTAGCCTGCAACAGTGTAGAAAAGAATGTCTTGCCAATGCACACACGTGTGCTCAAATGAATGTTGCCATCTTGTGTAGATAAGTGTTAATTTTTTGTATCAATTGATAGCTTAGTCTTTTTGCTAGCTGGTGGTATGGTATTTTAAGTTTTGAACCAATGTTTTGCCAATGCACACACTTGTGCTCAAATGAATCTTGCCATCTTGTTTAGACAAGTGTTAATTTTTTGTGTCAATTGATAACTTAGTCTTTTTGCTAGCTGGCGGTATAGTATTTTAAGTTTTGAACTATCCTCTCTGTTCACATCTTAAGATGTGTTCAGATATCTTTTGGATAACAAATTATACTAACTTTTGTATTTTTTCAGGTTTTCTCTACTGCAGCAGACAACCAGACTCAGGTTGGAATCAAAGTTCTTCAAGGTGAACGTCATATGGCAGCTGACAACAAGATTTTGGGCGAGTTTGATCTTGTTGGTATTCCACCTGCACCTAGAGGCTTGCCACAAATTGAAGTCACATTCAACATAGACGCCAATGGGATTGTAACTGTTTCTGCTAAGGATAAGGCAACGGGAAAAGAACAGCAGATCACAATCCGATCATCTGGTGGTCTTTCAGAGGATGAGATTGAGAAGATGGTGAAGGAGGCTGAATTGCATGCTCAGAGAGATGAGGAGAGAAGAACTTTGATTGACTTGAGAAATAGTGCTGACACAAGCATATACAATATTGAGAAGAGTTTGAATGAGTACAGAGACAAGATTCCCAATGAGATTGCATCAGAGATAGAGTCTGCTGTGGCAGACTTGAGGAAGGCAATGGCTGGGGAAAATATAGATGAAATCAAGGCCAAAATGGATGTTGCTAATAAGGCTGTTTCAAAGATTGGAGAGCACATGAGTAAGGGTTCTGGTTCTGCTGGTGGTTCCTCTGGAGGGTCCTCGGGTGAGGATCAGGGCCCAGAAGCAGAATATGAGGAGGCCAGGAAATAAAAGCTGAGTCAGAACGCACAATACTTGACATATATTTTACAATTATTAATTAGATCATGATTGTGGCAAAGCTTGTATCTAATTTAGTTATTGTTTTTACATTAAAAAAAGACACTCAAGGTGCAGGATTGTGGATGCAATCCTAACTTCTATTTTTGGTAGGATTTTATGCCTCAATTTTGCAGCTCTAAATCCATTTTCATTGAGCACTCTATTTATATCTTGATCCTCCGAAGAAAAGTAACCAAGACAAGCAACACCAACGTTGTGATCTTTAGTGTCTTCTAGTCCACATATTCCCTGGTTTGCTTAGAAGGAAATAAATGGAGGAAATGCATTTTCCCTTGCCTGCTTAGAAGGAAATAAGAAATGGAGAAGGAAACGGATGAATTTAGGTCTTTTCATTTACAGAAATGAATGGGAAATGGAAGAAAAGCATTCATTCAACTCAACTTTATAATTTCATTTAAATTTTTGTTCACTTTCATTTTTCATCTTTTCTTCTACCAAATGTCCCAAGGAAAAAAAGTGCAGTTCCTTTCTTCTTCATTCTTTTCCCATCCCTACTATTTTGCCTTCCTCAATTTTCCTTGCCATTCTACTACTACCAGATGTCCAGACATTTAGTGTCATCTGAATCATATACTAAAAATGACCTTCTTTCATTCAGTTCTGCACTTCATATCAGAAAATGGTTTTCATGGTGGAGTTTATCATCAATTTTTTCCCCTTTCCTCAATGAGGGATTATACATGTCACAATCAGTAAGACAGATGACCATTTTGTAGATATCTATCCATTGTCACCAAGAAAATTGTCTGCTTATTGCCTGCAGCATGCACTTCAATCTGCCAAATAATTTCTGTTCTGAACCAATTCTTCTAGTTTGTGTCAAGAACTCCATCTCCACACCAGATTTATTCATGTAAAGACAAAGGAATTGCAACTTACATTGCAACAGAAAACATCATCTCACCCGAAACAATTTGCATACAATTATTAAAAAATGATCATGAAATACATAGTCTTTTGGATTCTTGACAGCATCAATAAGCTTCAATTGACACCAAGTGCTCCAAATCTCCCAATGCTAGAACATGATCACCGAGAGGCAATATCCTTTTTCCATGTTCCTCCGCATGGCTAAGGTGGTTACAAGGATCTACTAAAATGCTTGTTTCAGTTGATCCATATAAACTAGTATGTACTCGATCAAATGCAATCAACTGTTTCTCTGGAGTTCCCTCAAATATTTTTGGTGCTTTAGAGAACAACATGACAACATGGCTTCCATCCATATCTCCAACATTTGTTACAGAAATATGCACATAGAATCTCAATAAATCACATGATGTCACCTCATCAACATGTATATAATCAAGTCCTCTCTGGTGCAATACTATGTTACTTGAAGTGCCTGTAAAAGACCTCAATAAACTTAATTTTCTAGGAGCAGACAAAAATTTGTAGGTGAAATTGGTATAGCTTAAGCCTTGGCCAAAGCCATATACTCTATTTCCAGTGTAAAACCGGTAGGTTCTTCCAGGATAACCACGAAAAGGATCAGCACGCATGTTCATATCATTCATCGCTACCTTTGTAAATGATTCAGGATACCAAGTCATTGGAAGCCTTCCACCTGTTTTAGAATATCCAAACATCATATTAAATTCTAGCAACTTAGCAAGCATAGGGGGTACGGTGTTGAATGTTAGAGAGAAAAAAAAAACATGCCAGTTGGTGTCACAATTTGATTAATTAAACTTTTTGTAGCATTTGAAATGGGTTCAATTATTAGTTTCTTTAATGAAGAGATAGCTCACTAATGTTCAGTTCTGGAAATTATTTCCATGCCATAAGAAATGAACTTCAAAATTTCATGCACTGTCTGCATGCCTACTAATGAGCTATAGTTTTGTGCCTACCAACCTGGATTGAAATCACCAAAGATGACCTCCGCAAGTGCCCTTCCACCAGCTTCCCCAGGGTATCCAACCCAGAGAATGCTTGCAATATTTGGGTCTCCTTCAGCGAATGATACATCGAGGGGTCCACCACCAGTAAGAACAAGAATTATCGGTCTTTCACTTGCTGCAGCAACAGAAGACACCAGGGCCATCTGTTTACCAGGCAAGAGAAGACTAACTCGGTCATGATCTTCAGTTTCTTGGGACAAATCTAGCCCAGCAATTACAATCACAAAATCAGCTTTCTTGGCAGTAAGAATTGCTTCATTAAACCCAGCATCAGAATCACAAGGCACATCAGAGCAACCAGATGCATAAGATGCCTGCTTTACATAGCCTTGTAGCCCTTCGAAAAGGCTCTTTGGGTCACATGGAACACCTGCCATATGAAGAATCTCAAACAATCATATTATACAAATTTGACATTGTGTGAACTTCTACAAAATGAAGAAACCCGGTAACTAGGTGAGTTTAGCAAAACTTCAGTCAGCATTGTGCAATACACATATAATGACTTGACAGAAATATCACGTGACAGACATGCTAAGACCCAAGGTGAAATAGTCTCAGGTAGCTTAACATATTGTTTGGGAAAGCTGTATGATTTAGAAATATAGGACATTTTCCAATGCTTTATATAGCACATAATCACATAATTCAATTGAACATTTGAAAAAAAAAAAAAAAAGGAAGACAATGAAAGTTGATATAAACCCCAACAATCACACATTATTGCATATGTCATACCTGTGTAGCCACCACCCATATTGCTTATGTTGTTAGCCATTGGACCAATAATAGCTAAGGAAGAAACTGCATTTCTATTCAAAGGCAGGAACTTTTTCTTGTTCTTCAGAAGAACAATTCCCTGCCTTGCTGCTTCAAGTGCCAGCATCTTGTGCTCTGAGGTACAAATTTCTTGAGGTCCCAACTTTCCAAACGGCCCCTCCCTGGGGTCTCCATCAAACAGGCCAAGACGGAGTTGAACTGAGAAAAGATTTAGAAGAGCTCTATCAATGTCTTTTTCTTGCAACCTCCCTTCTTCAATTGTAGTCTGAGTATGTCGAACTAGATATGATCCACAGTTAATATCCATTCCTACAGACAACCAACTTAATCTTAATACGCAGGAATGAACATTCCAGGGGCAATTCTTGATAAAAGTCGTTAAACAATTAAACTGTAAAAGATATGATTAGAAAAACCTGCTTTAAGAACATCGGCAACAGCATTCTCGGCTTTTCTTGTGTAATTCTGGTATTCTTGTACCGTTGCCACAGCATCACAATCTGAGGTGATGTAACTGACTCATGCCATAGAAGGATCACAGATTAGTCTTATAAGTTATAACCGATCAAGGTTGAATTTCAAATTTTGCACTTATCATTGTATAAGCAACTCCTAAAATTTTTTACCCTTTGAAGTCCCATTCATTTCTAGCTTTTTCTAAAAGATCTCCTCGCGCACAAGCTGGCACCCCATTAACTTCATTATAGGAACACATCAAGCAGCTTGCTTTACCTTGTTTGATACAACTGCGAAATGGTGGCTCATATGTATCCTCCATATCTTGCTTTGTAACCTTCAATGCAGATAAAGCAATTATCTGTTACCAAACTGATCCAAACTGGCTACTTAACTTCAAAAGGAGGCTTATCACAAGTCACAAACCAATAAACATTGATAAATTAATAAAAATATGCCAAAACCTAATTGAAATTAACTAACACAGTTTGCAACTGTCTTATCAGAACCAAATATGCGAAACTTATTCCCATAGCTAAATTCAACTATATTTAATTGAAATGGGCTAATACACAGTTACAAACTAAAAATGAGAAACAGCGAAAGTCAAATGATGCTCAGAAACAGGCCTACACCACAAGTACAACGTAAAAAAGGAAGACTTTACCACAGCATTGAAGCTGTATCTACTGAAATTCTCCCACTTTTCCAAGTCATAAGCAATGAAATGCTTGCAACAAGCAGAATTCATAAGCCTATCACCTCGCTCATCATCATCATTATCTCCTCTAAGTGCCCTCTTTCCTCCAAACCTATCTATGAACTCTCCATTACCTCTCCAGGACCCACCCTGGAAACCCTTTACAAACTCAATAGCATAAGCTGAAACAACCATGGGATCCTCACCAGGAGTCTCCTGGCCTCTTCCCCATCGGGGGTCCCTGAAAATATTAATATTTGGTGCCCAAAAAGTCAACCCCGCTTGTCCAACATTATACATGGCTTTAGCCTCAATACCTATGGCCAAGCCAATCTTGAACCAAAGGGTCCTATTGAAAGAAGCAGCTGTGACAAGAACCTGAGGGAAACTTGTTGCTGCTTTAATAATGCCATTAAAGGAAACTCCAGGTCCATTACTGGCAATCCCATGAAGAGACTCTGACCACCATTCATAAGAAGGAATTCCAAGTCTGGGGATTCCTGAAGCATTGTTGGACAATTGTTGGATTTTTTCTTGGAGGGTCAGAAGAGAAATGAGAGATTGAGCTCTGTCTGTGATAGACAGGGAAGTGTTGCAGAATGCATAGGAGTTAAAGTAGGGTGGTTTGCAAGGAAATTGTAGGCTTGGGTTTGATGACGAGATTGAAATCAGTAAAGTAAAAAGCCGTAAGAGGAAGAAGAGGGATCTATGTTGGACAGACATGGGATGATGAAGGGTGCTTTGCTAGTCAGATTGAAGATTTATTTTCTTTTCTTTTTCTCGAGATTATTGAAAGAAGATAAGACTGGTTGTTGGGTTGGCTTTAAGTAGTGAGCTTGATTTGACCACCGTTAGTATTAGATAAAACGATTGGATGGAGTTGCTTAATTCTGCCAGTCCGTGATTTCATTAGGATGATAAAAGCTTTAATATCTGCAGATATTTTTTTTAATGTTTATCTAAATAATTATTGAGAATATTATGCTTTCAAATCTCTTTTGAATTCGCAACAAATTTAACCTATATGCATGTAATCCGAACAAATATTCAATTGATTTTTACTTGTATTTTTTTATTGATAGTAAAGATAGAAAATAAAATTTTGTTAAATTTGAATTTTTATTATGATTTAATTAGTTTTAAATAATTTAAATAATTATGTAATTTATTGATAAAATGTTTAATTTTTAATTTTAATGATTTGGATTTAAATTAAAACATTTTCAAATATAAAAAAATAACTTAATTAAAATTATTTTAGAACAAAACTATAATTTTATAGAAGAATATCCAAATCATCATTCACATCACATGTAAGCTATTTTAATTCAAATGCTAACTTCTTAAAATCAAACAGGGTTAGGCTTCATAGGTTCCCTAGGTATTTTGTTTTTTTAATTACACCCATAATCATATATTATATTCACATAATCAATTATTATATTACTAATAATCAACTACTAAATTATAATTGAACTAAATAATCAAATTCAAAGGCAATAAGACTTGAACCTAAGATTTTAAGATTTTAGAGGCTCTTTCTTGCCACTGAACCAAAGTCTCATTGCCTTCGTGGTTCACTAGTCAAGCCTCTTCTTAGCATGTTTCCTTCGAGGTCTTAAAACTCCATGAAAACATTGGGTGCTAAATTAAGTGAAAAATATGCATACAAATTTGGGCCATAAGCCTATCACAAGATGATTAGCCAAAATAGAGAGTTCAAAAGTTTTGGAAAACTATGATAATCCAACCATGACTTAACTTTGGCTAGCAACTTCAATTGGGAACAGATTACAACCCCTTTATTTACTAAGCTTAGTTTTGTAATTACACTTTCATCAATAATGCAAATCAAACAAAGGCTTTGAACTAATAATGGTGAAATTTTGGTGCATTGTCAGCCAGGCAAGTTATCTCAAATTATTTGAACACAACCAATCCTAAAATGTTTGTTGATATCATATAATTTGTCTAGTGGGTGCATTGGGTCGTGCTTTCGTTTGGCTGCATCTACAGCTTTAGGGGCCTTTGGCTTTGCTAGAATATTTCATAGATTTTTTAACTATTTGAGGAAGTTTTAGCTCACTTCATACAGAAAAGGACTTTCGTGCAGGGAGAAATGATTCTATAAAAGACATGAAGACCATAACCAGGATACTGGCCCAGTTCAACAATATTTGTGAGGCATAGCAACAGCAATAACAATATACAGAATCCCTTGTTGTAGAAGCCAGAAACTAGAACTACAAGTAATATCTTTTGCAGTCTTAACTGTGTCACAATCTTTTCGACATCATGCTTTAAGGGTTACTCACAGAAATAGTAAATACCAGTAGCATGATTTCCAGTGGCAGCCAAAATACATACATTCTATACATGGCATTTAAACCAAATATCAAAGCATTTTCACAGAATAAGACCCTGTCATTCTGAAACAGTCTACCAAGAACATATTAGACAAGGGCTGAAAAGGAATCCATTTTTAGTGATTCTTAAGTTTGATGATGAACTTTCTTAAAAATACTATAAGTTGCTGATGTTTACCTGCAATCTGCATTAGAATTAACTGATCAGGGAAGAAGATTGCTACCGTCTAAAATTCCATATATGCAACCTTAGACTTTAGATGCAGTGACATGTTTAAAATTTCACTACGGTTGGTTATCCCTTTCTTTGAAGAAAGGAGTGTGCCTTTACTGCTATCTGTTATATTTTCCCTGAACTATGATCAACTCTTTTTTCTTATCTTCTTCACTTTATCTTTTGTTCTTACTACACTCAGCCAAGGTAACACTCTATGTGACCTGACCACCAATGAAGAACAGGGCTGGTTAAGTTAATTATTTTGCTTTGCTTATTCTGTTTATTCTCTTCTTTGGGGCAAATCAATAAGGTTTCTGTAAAACAATATCAACATTATAGTATACTTGTAGCTATAATTTGTTCCCATTTGCTAAACTTCAATTCTCTCTCTCTTTTTTATTTGTTTTCTTCTAAATTTCCTTTTACATAGTACACAATTCTTCTTAGTAGAATGCAAATGTTTTTACCATTCTCCCATTTGTCAAAACGATAACATGTGAAACGCCAGCTATGGGAACTTTAACATCTACCACAAACCCTTCCTCATACTAACCATAAACCAACAATCTCGTTGCTGAAAAAGTTAGACAAAAAATGAGATTATCATTAGAAACAAATTTACAACATAGAGTTCACAAAGTTGAGATGAGGCTAAACAACACGGTCAAGAGTCAGCAGCTACATATGACAGCCACAATTAGCATGCTAGTTATAGCTGATTTTATACAACTAAAAAAATTTGTTAAAGCATAACTTCACCTTCATCATCATCATCATCATCATCATCATCATCATAATCATGGTTATCAAAATCCAAAGAGTTATCAACACTATTGGTCTGTAGATGTTGCAGCTGGTTAATAACATATCTTGCATCAGAAACCAATGCATTTTTTGCTGCTCTAACCTTATCTATTTTCTGAATTTGATTAGATCCCCTATTCTCCTTTCCAAGTACTTCTTTTTCTGCTCGTACAGATTCCGCTTTTCTCTTAGCATCCCTGCTATGTAGCTGGTTGATGTACTTCTCATGTAAGGCCCTATTTTTAATCGGCTTCAACACTGGGGGACTAATCAGGGCTCCTGAACAAGAGTTACTAAGTTTCGAGTGGTGCTTCTTAAAAACAGAAGATCTCTCATGACACTTCTGGAGAAATCTCTGTTTTTCCAATAAATTATTTGGGGTAGAAAGCATAACATTTGGTAGAGGATGCATAGATGGACTTGTGTTGGGCTCAAGAATGGAGAATAGATCTACTTTATCACCTTGGTCAACATGATAGTGCTTTCGCAACAAATGTCTCACTATTTTTTTCTGTACAAGATGGCTTTTCTGTTTAATGCAACTTGACCTTTTATTCCTAGGTGCAGTGGGTTTAAGCAATTTGCTTGCAGAGAACGACAAATGTTCAATGGGCGACAAGTTTATTCTTTTCGCCCTTGACCGAGGCTGGGGTTGAGTTGGAGTTAAATGGTCAGAATGGATTTTATCAAAACAATCCTGTGCAGATTTTCCTGGCACCTGAAATAGATTTTCAACTGGTAATTAAGTCCTGAGTCTCAAAAAAAATCATTCTAGGTAAAACACCTCAGCATATAAACTATGTAAGACAAACAGCATAAGAGCAAATGCAAGACTCTATTTGACACCAAAACAAATCAGCAGGGAGTGTTTGGATAATAGTAGATTTACAAACGGAGATACTACTTAGTAAATTATGAATAGTCATTCACATGTAAATTATGAATAGTCATTCACATCAAAACACAACTGATAGCATAATGTACTGCATTCACATCTGAACAAAACTGAATGCAATATAATGTATTAGTCTAGCTTAACAAGGTCTAATGCTGGAAGTTTATAATTAATTTTCCTTTTGTTAATAGAATGTTATGTTTTCCATGACGACAAAACTTGACATTGAAGCAACAGTTTATATTCAATATTAAATCCATTCGATATTCAACCAACTTTGGAAAAGGCAGATCTATTTCTCACACAAATACTGCTAATTCAGTGCTCCAAGACTAGTACAATACGTGATTCTAGCATAACCAAATCATTATTTTCTTGAGATAAAATGCCAATCATGTCTGAGGCAGAGTAAAATCATAGGAAAAATCAGAAACATCCTAAGTTCATAATAATACACATTTTCATGAATAATTAAATAATCAACATTTAGGAAACACACAAAACATATAAGCAGCTTGACAGTCCAAACTTCACCCTTAGAATATTTTGGAAAAGGACAGCAAAGATATGCATATGCGTTAGCTTTAATAAGAATACACGGTGCATAAGAAATTTCACCATAAAACAACATGTGCCTCTACTTTTACCTCCTTGATCTTTGAACTCACTCAAGCTTAATAAAAGGGAGCAGACATGAGTCATGACTTCAAATGTAAGCATTACATCACCCATCAAGATAAAGCTAAAGTTAGTGGATGGATGGAAAGTGAAATGAGAAAGAAGTTGAGATGAAATTCACTGAAGAACAGTAACCATCAACAAATAAGCATTAAGGTTGTTTTATTGAAGAAACTTCAGAGACAGACTTAATTGTGTTCAATTACTATTTTATTAAAATACAAACCATTTGTTTTACTTTCTACAACTTAGGCATTATTGAAATAGATGAAAACAAAGCAAAAGTAAAGCTTCACAATAGCAAAGCTATAATCTTTAATTTCAAAGAACCTTTAAATTTTGAATAACCATCAATCTACAACATTATGTAATATAAGAAAATACAAGAAATTTAAATCCAGATATCAAGGAATAGCAAAAATACCAGCTTTGAAACCTTCTTCCAAAAATTAGGTGTTGGGTTGGCTGAAAAATAGGCTTTTTGCAAAGCCAATTCTTGCTCCCTTGTCCAACCTTGAAAAATCGCATCACCTCCCTCGTCAGGCTTCCTCTTTCTCTTTCCCTTAACCCCAACATCTTCATTTCTTTTATAAACTTCTCTTCTTTCACTTTCTCTCCCTTCCATGATAACTGCTTTCAAATCAACACAAATTTCCCTTTCCTTTCTCTTCTCTTCCCTTTTCTCTTCATTCAACAATCCCCCCCTTAAATTGTTTTTCCTAGATTCAACCTTCTTTGTCGCGACAAATTTGTTTCCCTCTGGCTTGTTAGACAAAGACCCACTGTTCAATCTTGGAGATTTTCGCAACCCAGTCGTTGAATTCACACAATTTGTTGAAAGCTCACTTGATACACTGTTCAATCTTGGAGATCTTCGCAACCCAGTCGTAGAATTCACACAATTTGTCGAAAGCTCACTTAATAAACTGTTCAATCTTGGGGATCTTCGCAACCCATTCGTTGAATTCACACAATTTGCTGAAACACTACTTGATTTTATCGGATTCCTGGAAATTTTAACTTTAGAGCGAGCGGGGTTTTCCTTGGATTGGACCTTTTGTTTATTGAAATCTTTTGATTTTATGGAAGTTTTTAGATTGCGAAGCCTTGCAGATCTGCGCACGGGGGTGGGTTGCAGGGTTTTAGAAACGGAATTTCTCGTCAGCATTTTTGCAAACACCTGGTCGGCTTTGCTTTTTCCTAATCAGCTCAGATTCCAGGGTATTTTGAGAGGGAAAATGGATGGGCTCTCGCTGTTCAAATTTAGGTCGTCAACCTATAGAATTTAGATTACGCAATGGGATTCGCACGTGCCATATACACACGTGTGACCTTGGCATGCCCAATAAGAATGGGCAATTTGTTTTCCTTTACATTTTTTTCTCAAAGCCCAGCCCAATGGCAATGGCACTACGCTAATACCATACATTAATCTTTTCTTTTTTATTATTACATAAAGTTACTAGTCCACTACTTTATGATGACAAAATTGTATAATTTTTAGCATAATAATTAAAAAATAATAATTGATAAGTTCGTGTCAATCTTAACAACCCATACTTAAATTTAATTCACAATTCATGATGATCATGACAACTATGTTACTTTTTTCATCAATCACACAATTGAATGTACTTAAAAATAATAGAGATAAACTCAAACTTATATTTAACTATTTGAGGATGGTTAAATATTAAAAAGATTGAGAGAAGATATAAAATTTATCATTCGACTTATGGAAGTTGTTCAAATTTATCATTAATTTTTTAACTACTGTAATTTTGGTACTATATTTTTTATTTTAAAGTAAATTTACCATTATAAATAAATTTAGTAGATATGTAACTGTTGAAAAATATTTTTAGAATATTTTATTAAAAATTATTTTATACTCCCTTTATCTTTTTTTTTGTCATTTTTTTGTCCTAAAATTATGTCTTTTTTTTAATATATAAAACTCTTTTTTTATATATTTTATAATTTTTTTATAATTTTTTTTCTTTTTGATATTAAAAATAATGAATTTTTAATTTTATAAAAAATTAGATTTTAATATTAAATACATTAAAATCAAATTTTTTTCTTAAATTTTGTAAAAATCAATACATGATAAATATTTTGAAACAAAAGAAGTAATTTAAAAAAATCTCAAAAATAAAATGACACGAAAACAAGGTTAATACCAATTCAAAAAGTATAGTGCATTATTATATTTAGTGAAAAATGTCATAATGTAAAAAGAAAAATAAAAAAAAATTCAGATATTTGATATTATATTCAGTAAAAATAAATCATGGTAACGAAAAAAAGAAATAAAAGTAAAAACAATTCAGATTTTAGCTTTATGGTTATTTTCTCTCAAGCCATATCATTTTTAAAGTGTAAAACAGTTTCGAACGGATTTTTTTACTTATTCTTTAATTGCTATCAAATTTAAAATATAAAGATAATTTTTTTAAAAATTAAAAGTATAATAATAAAATTATATTAATTTAAAGACCACTCACATAAATACAATAATTAATCTGCAACTTATCTCAAAAATACCGAATTAAAATATCATAATATTGGCAAAAATAAAATAAAATATCATAACTTTTATTCTTAAGTTACGATCTTCTTTGTAATATATATAAATTTATCCTTCAGGCTGCTATGATAAAGAATTTAATTTGAGTGGTTACGAACCAAAATGGCATGAAAATTGAAGGAAAAAAATTAGGAAAAAGCCATGAGGAAATGTTTAGGTTTATGCTTTTGATTTGGTGATATATATACCTAACTTTTGATAGAGATTTCCACTGCATCAACATCAGCTTCAAGTTTTGCAATTGTGCTTTTAGTACCCCACTGCATCAGCATCCGCTTCAAGAGTTGCGGCCAAAAACCTAATCTTTCTTTACTTGGTTTGGGGGCATTTTCAAATGGTTTATTTTGTGTATTTATTTATTGGCATTACATTTTGTAGGAATGTCGATAGGTAAGGTATAGAAAGAGTAAAATATTCTTCATTCTTGTCTTTATTTTTAGATTTTTATATTATACGCATACTGATATTTATATCCAATGAATATTTTAAATTTATCAACATTTTAATTTCGATATCTCTATCCAATGAGTATTTTAAATTTATCAATATTTTTATTCCTTGAGTATATAATTGGTATATGTAATTTTTGTACTTGTAGTTTTTTAAAAAAAATAAAAATAAAAATTTATTTTTTTAGCTTTTTTATTTTTATCTTGTCCATTTCGGTAATTTTTTTATAAATATATATAATTTTTTTTCAATTAAAATATATTATTTTCAATTAATCTCAAATAATTATTTATATTATTTAATAAAAAATTCTTTATTAAATATATATAAATATATATGTAATATATTAGTGCAAGATAGAAATTATATTAGCCATCCTCATCCTCATACACAATAAAAATTTAAAATTATACTCATCCACATTCTCATACTCATAATATGATACCCATTCTTATCTTTATCTTCATTCAAATAAAAAATCGAATTTTCTATTAAACATGAGTAAGATTGACATCTTAATATTTTAAAAATAAAATAAAATAACAGAAATGAAGAGATATGAAAGATGTTAGACATGAATTATTTCATTGGTTTTTAGATTTTTTTTTCAAAAATAAACCCAAAAAAAATGATAATAAACTTTAATATTGAGTCATAATATAATAGTAAATTTTATATTTATCCCAAAAATATATACAAATTCAATTTACTATTGTTATATGAACATTACCAAACTAAATTGTGAGTGATGGACAAACAAATCTACACCTCTGTTATAGTAAAGAAAACTAAAAAAATACAAAAGTGGTTGAGAATAAAGCTATTTTCTTTAGTTTAGTGATTAGTTGAAGAATAAAGCTTTCTTTTTTTTTTTTAATCAAAAGTGTACTTCATTGTGTTTTAAACTCTAAACTCTTAATTGTGCAAACGAAATTCTCTAATAATTGATTTTTATCTTTATATCGATGTTTTGAGAAAAACCTGTTAGGCAAAAAGTTTCAATCAAATCAAGCTAACGAAAGTAAAATCAAACAATTAATTAATCACACAAGAGATAATAATTTAATGTAGTTGGATCTAATTGATCTACGTCTACGGATGAAAAATAATATTCGTTAGTTGTAGAGAATTACAAACATACATCAACCACTCAACAATTAATACCTATAGATCTTTTCAATCTTTTTTAGTCTTATGGAGTATTATTAACCTAAACAAACACATACCCATGTGCACTCTTCAATACAACTGAACATATATCTATATGCACCCATACATTATACTTATATGAACCCTCTCAGTCTCTTTTAATCTATTCATAAATAAATATACACACACATAAGATATAAATCTTCAGTGTCTTATTAGGTGCCTACCCATAAAACCCTACAACTCTCTTATATCTTTTTCTCATACCTAATTTTGTAGAGATTTTACATATTTATAACCATACAAACTTGCTTATTAAGAATCTCTTTCTTTTTAAAATTATTCTTCTGCAAGTCAAATTTGCCTATTAAAAATTTTTTTCTTTAAAAATTCTTCTTTTGCACTTGTCTATCAAGCAATATTTGGTAAATTTCAAATAAATTTCTAACAAATCTCATATGGAATTTGAGTCATTGTTCCTAACAATCTCCATCTTAACTCAAATTTTATCAATCATTTATCTTCATGCTAGATATACTTGGCTCTACCTACAATGAAAGTCTCACAATCATCTTTTCTTGTGTGTCTTCACGCTTCATGCAAACCGATCTTTAAAACATGAATTCAAACTTATTCTTTAAGTCGAACTCCTCTGGACCTGCCTCTTCTCATAACTCGAACTTTCAGCTCTTTTCATGTCTTGAACCTTTAGCTCTGATACTACTTGTTAAGGATCACCACAGCTCTGATATTATTTGATGGAGATAACCAAAGCTCTAATACCATTTGTTAGGTAAAAAGCCCAAATCTAATCAAGCTAGTGGAAGCAAAATCAAACAATCAATCAATCACAAAAGAAATAATAATTTAACGTAGTTCGGTCCAATCGACCTATGTTCATGAATGAGAAACAATATCCAATAGTTATAGAGAATTATAAACATACATCAGAGCAAATCAATCGCTCAACAATCAATACCCATAAACTCTCTCAATCTCTTCTAATCCTATAGAGTATTCTCAACTTAAACAAATACATACTCATGTGCACTCTTTCAACACAACTAAACACATATCCAAACATATACTCATATGCACTCATACATCATATCTATGTGAACCCTCTCAGTCTCATCTAGTCTACTATTAAACAAACATACATACCCATAAAATGTAAATATTCAGTAGTCTTATGAGGTATCTATCCATAAAACCTTATAACTCTCTTATATATTTTTTTCATACCTAATTCTATAAAGACTTCACTTATTTATAACCATACAAATTTGCCTATTAAGAATTCCTTTCCTCTTAAAATTTTTTCTGTAAGTTAAATTTTTCTATTAAAAATTATCTTTATCTTAGAATTTTTTTTTACAAGTCTTTTTATCCATCAAATAATATATGATAAATCTTAAACAAATCTCTAACAAATTTTCTATGAAATTTAAGTTATTATTCTTAATAAAATCATGTTGGTCATTTTTAATAGATCAAAATATGTCATAAGTTTCTATATTTTTTTATTTTTAAGAATTTAATCCCTCTAATATCATTTAAAGAAATTTAATCCTTATAGTATTATTTTTTAAGAATTTTGGCTCAAACATTAATAATACACAAAAACTAATTTCTTTAAAAAATAATATTATAGAAATTAATTTTTTTAAAATAATATTACAATGACTAAAGTTTTTATCATATGAATTAAATTTCTAAAAATTGAAAAGTACAAAATCTATAACACATTTTAACCTTTTTAATATTATTTCCAAAACATCAAAATCAACCAAAATTAGTAACTTTCACTTACTTTCCGATTTTTTTTTTCTTGTATATTTTTACTAAATTTTGATTGACCCATTTTAACTAAAGTAGTGGTAAGTAAAACAAAGATTAAGAACCAATAAAATTTTATCACCAACAATTAAAAAAAAAAAGAAATTAAAAATGTTAAATCATATCATCCACCTGTTGCCATAACACCACTGAAAACCCACTAGGTATTGTCCCTGTCCCTACGTGATTTGGGTGAAGAAAAGGGTACCTTTCGCTGGGGGTGCTTATCTTCCGTACGTTTACAAATTCTATTTTTCACGCAATTTTTTTATTCATTGGATAAGAATAAAAGACGATGAAATGCAATTTTTCATTATACATATATTTTTTAAGTCTTCTTTGCTATTAAATCAATAAATTAAAGATATTTTTTTTATTAAAGAATATAATTAATCAAGTTAGATTTGATAAATTAAAATATAATATAATGATATAATATAAATATAATAAAAAATAATATAATTTAAAATTTTAATAATTATTATATATAAATTTAATAAAATTAAAAAATATATTTTATATTTTTGTATCAATATAAATTATAAAATATAAATTTTACATAAAAAATATTATGAATATATAAATTTTAATATTTTTCGATGATAATATGCAAGTCTTTTCACCTCTTTCTCACACAAATTTCCTCTTCATTTGTTTACCCTTTTTGCTAACCTTCACGTATATCCTCAGTGCATGGGGAAAAAGCAAGTATTATGTGTCTAAAATTCTATTCCACCTCATTTCCTCAACCTTTTGTCTTTTTAGAAAAATATACTTCAAAAGATTAATTATTAAATATATATAAATCTATTTTTTAAAACTTTATTTATAAACTAATCCATAATTTGAATATTGAAACTTGGAGATTTGGACTCTTAAAAAGGATATAATTAAACCCTAATTGATTGTGGTGATAATATGCACATTCTTGCATTTTATTTTTCTTAGATTTGATTGTCTCCTACTCCCAAGAATTAAATAGTCATAAATTTATTATTTATTTATGATACTTCCCAATACAAAATAACACTTGGGTTTTTTTTTTTTTAAATAACAAAGATTGATGTGCCGTAACTTAAATATAAGAGAATGAATTATAAATGTTAAAATGTAAATTTTTAATCTATTGAGTGATATATTTCAATTGACTTAGTGGTAAGCAATTTGATCTCAAATAAATTTTACTTGCCAAAGGCAAGGATTCAAAACTTGGAAAAAGTCTTCGTTGGAAGGAGAAGTAATTTAGGTGATCATTGTTCTTAAATCACTTATGCTTCTCCTTGAATGGTGACACCATTTCCATCATCATTTACGTATCAAAAATATATATTTTAAAAGTTATTATATAAACTAATTTGTAAGATTTATTAAAATAGTGAAATTTGGAAGAGACTGTTGTTTTTATTATGGAGAGTGGGAACATTGCATTTGTATTTTGTCTAAGCATCAAAGGAGTGCCAACTTGAAACAAACAAGCTACAAGATAGTCAGATTTTTTTGTTTAAAAAATATCTCACAGTGCTGATTACTGTTGATGAAAAGAAAAAAAAAATGCAGAATTGAAAGCTACATCTACTGGGGAAGGCGGAGAAAAGAGAATCAAAAGCAACTTAATGCTCCAAATAGTGAAATTAGGTCATCAGGGAGAGAGAAAGGGGAAGAGATCACCTTAATTTGAGGAATCCAAAGTGGCTAAAACCAATTGAAAAATGGTTTAATATTTGTAGGGTATTGAATTTTTATTTTTATATATATATCATGAACACGAGATTATAATTTAATTTTTTTAAAATTAAGTCTGATTCATAATGTGATAATTTTTCATCTATATATATATATATATATATTGAGAAAATTAAAGCAAATTTTCAGATGAATCATTTAAACGTATGATTTTGTGATTATGTTTTTTTTGTTATTTTAAAATTATTAATCTATCATTAAATCTTATACTTTATTATTTAGCTAGCTAAAAAAAATATTATGTGTATAAATTCTCTGGAATCATCAACTTTCAAGTGCCAACTTAATTTTTTTTTTATTTGTTTAACACCTCCCACCCCATGTTTTTCATGTATTTTTGTTTGTGTTTTGCAAGTTGTAACCCATGTGATAATAATACATGAAGTTTGTTCAACGTTTTAAGGTATTCTCTTTCCTTTCAACTACGATACATTGGATCAATAAATCACTTACAGGGCCTACTTGTAAAGATCTATCCCAATCTGATATGAATTCAAGTTTCTAAACGTAGAAAAAAACATTTATAGAAAGTGTGTAAAACGAAAACATTGCATCTCAAAAAAGATGTTGAAGAAACTTGAACTTATCTGAATCTTTTCTTATTTTCTTAACTGGTAGATTTTTGTTGAAAACACAATTTCATTGTTTCTATAATGGTGATGGCAGATTATAAAAGTTAGCACTTGCTAGGTGCTATAATTTATGATGTATCAACTTCAAGATTGGATATTTCGATCGATTTGAAGAGCACATAATTAAGTGGTTTATCAGCAAATTTTCTGCCTTCGCTCATACTGAATTCTGTGTATGCAAGACTAAATCTGGTTGTACCACATATTGGGTAGTACCAACCAACTCTAAAGATTTGATGCACTTATCACTGATTCTTCACAGATAAGTCTTGCATACCTTTTTTCCATAGGGAAAAAGAAAACAGAGTTGGCCTCTCATTGGCAGTTCTATCTTTGGTTAATACAGTAGACAAGGCTCCACCTGAGTAGCCTGGAAGCATACGGACTTGGTTCTGTTAGTCAAGAAAAATGGACTTTAACTTCAACAATTTTCTCTTATAATTAAGTGCTGAAGGCACACTTTAAACTTGAGAAAAATAAAAGAAAAGATCTAAAGATTGCTTTACATTGGAGATTAAGGTAGGGTCTGTATAATGAATGAAGAACAATCTATAAACTAAGCAGAGCAATCTGAACAAGGACATTGGATATTTTCTTCTCTTTTTTTTTTCTCTTTTCTACTTTTGGGTAATGCCGTAATGCATAAGAACTTCATTAAACAATTTCATTTTCCAACTGACAATTGGAATCTTCTTCCTTGTGGAAATAATGGCATAATAAATTTACTACTCCTAATGTAGTACTTGGCATGCAAGAAACTGTACACTGAAAACTATACAAATTGACCAGTTCTCTGTCCGGAATCCAAAGACTGTAAATTTCCTATCCACCCTTTTCTTTTCTTTCTCCCAAAAACTCAAGGTGAAAAAGAAAAATTAATCTAATGGTCCAATATTTACAACAAATTGCCAATTTGCTAATACAAAGGTACTGGAAAACGCGGTGGCTTGGGCGGCTTTTGCACTTTTACAACAAACTTGTCTTGCCGTGGAGGTTCACACGGACATGGCAATGCTATGAACTTTGGGATCTGATCTCCTGGCATTAAGACAGGCAAGCTTTGACTTTGGTTTTTTTTTAAATCCTGAATACAAGAAAAACCAAATATATAGAGGTTGAGTTGAGTGTCAAAAACTATGAAACCTTTTGTTTATTTAACATGTTCTTAAGCTAATAAGGTTAAATTCTCATGTCAATTTTTAAAAAAAGTGAGAGAAAATTTACCCTGTACTCAGGCTTAGATTTCGAGGGCGAAGCTTCGATATCCGCATCGGGATCCGTGCCATCTGCGAAAGATCGACGGAGTGATCTTAGCTTGTCCCAGTGGTAGCAGCAGGAGAAGATGCCACTCAAGCTGAAAATGATGATTAAGAGAAGAGCTGTGCCGAGAGGGAACCCAAGGGTCGGTCGAGATGTATCCACATGTGGTGGGGAAAGAACCTGATTCTCCATCACATATACTCTTCCTCGATGAACCACTACTTCTTGTCTTTGCTGCTGCTGCTGGTGTTGTTCCTTCTCTCATATGTATGACAGGAGAAAGAAACAAGCAGTGAAGAGCATGCAAAAAATTATGGCATTGAAAGATAAGTTGAAGGAGGAATGAGGGGGGGGATTTATTTATAAAATGACGGGAAGGCTGTGGTAATGTGTACGTGAAATGTCCCAAGTGTCCGGGCCATCCATGGTACTGAATAAGGTGGGGGTCCAATTGTTTGGTGCAAGCTATGAAGAAGAAAAAAAACAAAAGGCTTAAAAGCTAAAGCACTAAAGATCCTTTGGGTTTTTGCTTGTTTGTTAGGGAATAGAAGAAACGAAAGAATTTGTTCTAGGAAGGAGAAAGGAGTGTGTGCAAAGATGAGAAAACAAAAATGGGAAATTTAGAACAAAAAATGTCTACGAACAGCACCAAGCTACTTGTCTGTGTGCCGCGTTATGATTGAAGCATGTTGCAAGGGTTAGTTTGTCAAACTGTTACACTTCAAAATTTGCAAAATTCAACCTTTGCAACTACATTATGTCTTAACTAGAGTTATTCTACTACATTGGGAACGTGACTTGCCCTAAAAATGATAGCCTTTTTGTCAAATGAAAGGGAACTGGTGCCCTGCGCTCCTGTTCCTACAGGAAGAGGGATATTATGGGTATTTGGCCGTTCGAAGTACGTAAAGGGCAAAATTAGAAACCAAACCAAGAGCAAGAAAAGAATATTGAGAAGAAGCAATTAATTGGGTCAATTCATTTCATGTCACCAAAAATTCCCCTTTTTTTTTTCTGGTTCATGAGTGTGAATTAAGAGATCTGTACTGTAAAGTGAGACTTTAACGAAACTACAGGAAGCCTCCAATATAGGAAAGTTACCAATAAAAAAAAAGAATCCGATTATAAAAATATGAAGTAGTAGCAATTTTTAAGAATCGATTCTCCTATGAATTATGATTGATAGCAACGTCCTGGTGGCTATGAACCTTTAGAGAAGATATGCCGTGTAGAATTCAAATTTGAAACCTTGAGAAAGATTTAAGCCGTCTTCTGACTTAAGCCCCCTTCCTGCCTTCCAAAAAAAATACAAAATTAAAAGAAAATCTTTCCCATCGTTTTTCTTAATGATGTGGATCGTTTTAAGTTTCTTTAATTGTTGAAACTGACTTGTTTGCAGCATATGTAGTTTAACATAATTGATTTCTTGCAAGATCAAAACTTTGGAATGTTTACTGTAGTTAATGTAGATTGTTACAAATTAGAAAATTTTTAACCTGGTTAAAAATAAAAGGTTATCCTGGGACAAAACATGTAACCCATTTTCATTACCTCCAATGTTTTGGAGATCAAACAATATCTGTTGTAAGGGATCTTACTTGCAATTGGGGTTTAAATTTTTGATTTGTTAAAAGTATCTCTAACAGGATCAAGCCTGGAAGATTTGAATCATTCATATGTCCTTTGGTACACTAAGAAACAGATCATTTCTAGCTGGAAGAAGACGGTCAATAGCCATCTGCAGGTCATTTTCATATTTTCTGGTCTCGATTAGTCTTTATCTGAAAATCACAGTGATAGAGCCCTGTCTCCTCAGAAGGTTATGCATCTATAATGCTTGGGTTTCTGCCTGGATGGCCACTATTCATTGCCAGGATAATATGCAACTTCTCGGTGTTTCCTATTGAGCTTATCTTTAACATTTCAGAAGATAAAACTTTTAAATCTTGGGACCATGGACGAGTAAAAACATTATCAGTAAAGAATGTGCTAAATTTTCTATCTTTTTGATAGCCATCTCTATCTATTGTGAACGGGACCATCAGCTTTGTCAGTTTCCTGCACTCCACAAAATTTACTCTCAGACTCTCATAAATCTGACTTTTATAAGTTTCCATCAATGATGTGTTACTGTGTCATATAAATCTTTGCTTGACCCTTCGCCAAACCAAAGCAATCCAATATTTTTAAATATATTATCATGAATGATGTGTTAGAGATTGGAAGTTACTCCATTTTTTAGCACATGTCAACGGTTTCAGTTTTTAACATGAGCCATGTTCATTGACAGAGAAAACCCTTTTCTGAAAATTTTGTTTATTTTATTAAGAATATTGACTCAAATCTCATAATAGATTTGTTTGAAATTTATTAAAAATTTGTTTGAGATTTGTTTGAGATTTGTTAGATATTACTAGATGGACAAAAAGACTTGTAAAAGAAAAATTTTAAGAGAAAAATGATTTTTAAAAAGTAAGTTTGATTTACAAGAGAAGAATTTAAAAAAAAAAAAAGATTCTTAATAGACAAGTTTGACTTACAAAAAAAATTTTTAAGAGAAAATAGATTCTTAATGGACAAATTTGTATAGTTATAAATAGGTGAAATCTCTACAAGATTAAGTATGAGAAAAAGATGTAAGAGAGTTGTAGGGTTTTTTAAGATAGACATCTCATAAGAGTATTGAGACTCTACGCCTATGTTTGTTTGTGAGTGGATTATGTTTGTTTGTGAGTGAATTAGAGGAGACTGAGAGGATTCACGTAAGTATGATATATGAGAGCATATGGGTATATGTTTAATTGATGTATGAGAGCATATGGATATATGTTTAGTTATGTTAAAATGGTGCATAAGAGTTTGAGTTTGTGTTTGTTTGGGTTGAGAATACTTCATATGATTAGAAGAGATTGAAAGTATCTTATGAGTATTGATTGTTGAGTGAGGTTGATGATTTGATATAAGTTTATAATTTTTTATAACTAGTGGATCTTGTTTCTCATCTGTAGACGTAAGTTGATTGAACCGAAACACGTTAAATTATTATCTCTTCTATGTTTGATTTATTATTTGATTTCACTTTTGTTAATATGATTGGATCTGATGCTTTTAACCCAATATATTTGTCATTACGTGAACTGTGTCTGTCAGTTTGCCAAAATCCAGGAACATATTGGCCGCTCACTTGAAATCTTATGTATCAAATAGAAAACACACACGCACCAAAAAAAAAAAAAAAAGCAGATTCAATGATCTTGTCGAGAAAAAATGAAGTTCTAGAAAAAGAAAGAAAACAATAAAAAATTGTTTTTGCTTATATAAACCCAAATCAGCACAAACCAACTCAAGAGAGGGATTAAGCAAATGTACTGTCTGGTTTATTTGAAAAAGACAAATAAACCATTGCAGACAGCATTTATTTGAAAGCATCAATTGTTGATATACATAATTGAATATGAATATCCGCTGGAAGAATAACGTAAAAGGTGAATTGCCTAAAGAAAAATACTAAAATTATTTCTAGAATCAGAACAATCTAGCCGGATGGAATCAAAGTAAATTCTCCACTCATGCGAAAATGCACCATATTCTCATTAATAATTTAATCTCATAACTTACCATTTGCAGCATCAGGTGCTTGAAAAGGCCTGAAAAATAGAGCAGTTTCTGGCTTTCTGCTAATACTGTATCCATTCAACCTGGCCATCTAGGAGAAGTGGTATTTAATAAATCTGAAATTCAACTCTCAACACATTTCTTTATCCCTACACCGTGGCCTCTTTTTTACAAAAAAAAAAAATACTGTTTCCATCGGGTGGCAGTTCACTCATCTTCCTCAGCTTCATCAACTGCAATGAAAGGGTTTCTTGTTGGCTTTGGCTTGGTTCAAGCCTTTATATTGATTGTAGTTAAAATATCAAATCGTACTACCACTTATATGATCAACTATAAATTGCCTTTCCAATAAGCTAGCTGCATTCATACTTTTATCTCTACCTGTTACTTAAATTTCTGCTACTGGCTTGGATGTTTGTCACATCATACATATACATATATTCTGCTAATCCTTTGGATGTTTGTCACATCATATATATATATATATATATATATATATATATATATATATACCCATTCCTCCATTAATTATCTTATGTATAAACTTCATCTTAGGAATTACAGTATGCACTTTATTCTATGTGTTTAATTAGAAATTTGTACAGTTTTTTTCAAAGCTCTTCATGCACACCATGAAAATAGTGGACTTTCTTGAGCTTACAAAAAACAAGTTTCTTTTTTAAATTTATTACACATTTTATACTCGAATTATAATTAAATTTTAATTTGAAATTTAAAAATTTGTTAGTATACTTTAATCTTTACTTTCATTTATCAATTTGCAGATAAAATTAACATTATTAGTAAAATGGGTGACATATTAAATGAAGATCCTTGTGCTACCCCATGAATATGATTTGGTCAAGATGGGAAATCATCAATGAGGCAATGCTTTTTACCTAAATAGATTTGACTTGAGAAAAGAGTAGTGGATGTGCTTTCATTGTGTTCAAGTTGGGTGGCCTAACCCCTAAAACAGGCTGATCATTCACTGGTGGGAAACACGACTAGGCCTAATGCAAAAGAAGATACTGATGTTTAAAGGGAAAATATTGATGTTTTAATAAAATGGGTTTTAATGTTTTTATTGACCCATTTATTAGTGGCTCAAGTGGAGTTCATTACTGACGCCAACTAAAACAGGACAATGCACATCAAAGGCAATTAAAGAACATCAAGCAAAGTGGTTTTCATTTGGTTTTTTTTAATCAAAATTAATCATGGCAATTTGCCAAGGTGATTAGTGGCTAAGTGAAGTGTTAAACCGAAGATCCACTTGATTTGAAGATAGTGATATTCGGATTAGAATAACTTAGAAATGGTCAAAATGTAAAGAATTCGGTATAATTTGGCTAAAATTAAACACCACTGATTTATCTTTGATTTCTTTTTTTACAATATCATTATAACTATGCCTAACTCTATCAAGTTGACAGGATCTCTATCCATAATACAATGTTAGTTTATTATTATGTGGAAGTTGAAAGGAGAGAAGATTTAATTGAAACCATAAATATTAAAAGGATAAGAGAATTTGATCCTCTCTTAGTTGTTTATGTTTGAATTTGCTGAAAGAATGTAAGAAAATAATTTTTTATAAATTCGTTAAATTTAATATAAATAAATTTGTTTAAATATGGACAAAACTTAAGCATTTATGCTAAAAAAATTTGATAGATCAAGTTATTTTGATGTCTTTATGTTTGTTTGGTAATAAAATAAAATGATTATATACTTTTTGTGAGTAAACAAATATGTACTATTCTTAAAATTTAAGAAAAAATTTACATTTAAGAGCATAGGGACAATTAGACACACTTCAATTTTCTTTTTTATCATAAAATGAGCATAATTCATGAGAAAAAAGAAGAGAAGTTTTTGATTCGAAACTAAAACTATTATGCCTCCTAAAAGCTCTTCAACCATTGGATCAAGAAATCGAACAGATGGAGTTTAATGTTGTTTCAAGCCATGGGTATTATAACAGGCATCCAAATTAAAAGCCAGAAAAATATTGAGTTGTGCTTGTCAAGTTCATAGGCTTGCCGTGGATAGCTTGAGGCGGGCCATTAAAACTGGGTGGCCAATTTTGCAACTCAACCCATTCAACCATGGAGAGGAAGAAAATAAAATTTGGCTAACAACTGCATAAAATAGATAGAGAAATTATTATATTCATTGACAGGGAAGTTCTTCGGATTAGTAGAAGGACACTAACTTCTGGGTATAATAAAAAATTAAAAAATAGAAATATAATAATTTTTTAATTTTATTTGTAGAGTTAAAAAATTATACGTTAAAGGGTATAAA